TATTCCATGGTGCGTCCATGGTAATCCATGGTTTTCCACGGAAATTCATGGTTTTTCATGGTATTTTCCATGGAAATTCATGGATACCCATGGTAATCTTCCATGGATATTTACCATGATTTTCCGTGGTAATTGGTGGTTTGGTAATTGTTTTTTCATGAACATGCCATGTTTTTACCATGACACTTGAGTTGTAAAATCAACAATTTTGGCAGGTTTTGTTTTTACCAAAATCTTCAAAATTGAATCAATATTTTAACGAATGAATCCAAGCTGGATTGAGAATTAGTCTCATTAATCATAGATAAAAGAATATGACACCCCCCACCCCAAAATCTTTGAGAAAGTCAACCTTCTTGACAAAAGCTGGTTTCAGGCCTGAAATACAACCATGTTTTTACAATCTGAATATATGTTTAGTACATTCTGTACATAGTGTCATATGACAAAGAACTGTTTACTTAATATTTTTTTAATTGATGATTTGACCCCACAATTAAAAGTAATAATTTGTTTGCTGGGATTTGCTATCATTTAACTTTGGCACTTATGTAAAAAAAAGACAAAATAAGTGATAAAATCAGCTCACTGGATTCCCTTATTGCAGACTGAATAAACATTTTTACTTGGAGTAAATCCTATTTGGTTTTATTTGATCAACAATGAGTTTTTGACTTGCACTGTCTACACTCACAGACAATAATAATTACTGAAGAGGGAGCATTAGAAAGAGTAAGATTATCATATATAATAACAATTAAGATCGGAATATTTAAGAATTATGCAAATGAACTCTTATAATCTGTTGTAAAGAGATAAATCTTTTGAAATTAATTTGAGAGTTAAGACACCTAATTAACATAGAATAATGGCAACCAAATATTTAAAAATTATGCAAATGATTATTTATTCCTATTCAAAGACAAATCAATTTTAATTACTTATACATGTTTCATGTTTTAAGCCAAATGGTGTTGTTAACCCCCTCCCCTTCCTTCATGCAACTTCTTTTTAAATATAATATTCTTACATAGACAAATTGAATTTTTATCACTTAGGTATAACATTTCAGTTTGCAGCCATAGGCTTGTGTTTAATCCCCCATCTCAATTTCAAGTCAAAATTCTGTAAAAGTATACACTTTTCTGTGGATTTTTTCAGATAATATGCTTATAAAAGTTGAATGGGACTTAATTTGGAGAAGTTCATTTAGAAACATAATGTATTATTCATTTTTCTGCTTCCAAAAGACCAAACAAATAGCCCATGGAAAACCATGGACTTTCAAAAGATCAAAGGAATAATCATGGAAAACCATGGCTTTTGATTGCACTTTCCAAAACATCAAAGAAATAACCATGGAAAAGCATGGCTTTCGATTGCAATCAACCGTCTTCCCTGGCTTTTGATTGCAGTTTTCTCAACTTCAAAGAAAGAAACCATGGTTTTTGATGTATTCTCAAATGTACGAAATGTAATTTAAGAAAATGAGTTATTTTTTTCTTAAATTACTTCATATTGATTTTTAAAACTGAAAATTAAAGAAAGCATTGAAATAAAACAGAGCTTGGGCTAGTTTGACTTAATATTTTTCAAAGGAAAGAAGTGTTTGGCCTAAAAAATTCTCTATCTAGTCTTGATCTACACAAAAGACCTTTGCACAATTGTTTTTGAAATCTTGTGGCCTACTCTCTGCTCTGCTGTTTCACATATTTTCTCATTTGTAAGCTGAGTCTAACATTCGATGAATGTTCTTGCTATACCTTCAAAATGAAATGTCCACCCTTTTTTCTCAATGATAAGTCTCAGTCTAACTGGGATATATCATCAAAACATTCATTTTGGAGATTTTGGTAAATACAAATCATACCAAAATTGTTGATTTTACATCTCCATGACACATCCATTAAAAACCAATTACCAAACCAACAATTACCACGGAAAATCATGGTAAATATCCATGGAAGATTACCATGGGCGTCCATGAATTTCCATGGAAAATAACATGGAAAACCATGAATTTCCATGGAAAACCATGGATTTCAATGGGCGCACCATGGAATACCATGGTTACCATGGCTTTTTTCTTAAGGGTAAATTGCTTCTAGATTCATTTACATTTTGTTTTTTCATTTTTCCAAAAAGTGACCAGTCTTCAAGGAGTTAAAGCAATATATTGGGCACATTTTCTGTAGAATTCAAAATATTCAGTTCAGTGACCTTTCAGAAATGCTAACTTTAAACTTTTTTCAGTCACAATTTCAGAGGGCTGAAAAATCATATAAATGATGTATGGGAGTAGTACAACAGACTAAAGATTAAAGCAGTCTGCTCTGTTATCTAACTTGAAAAAACTCTAAAATCCATATAGCTTTTTCATTTCCTGTTTCTTTCTACCCCAAGACCTTAACAAGCCAGAAATGAAGCTAATATTATTCAAAGAGTATTTCAAAAATGTTGAAGATGACATTTTTGTTTATCGATTTTGACCAATCAGACGTAGGTCATCTCAGTACAGGTTTACAATGGTGTCGCCCCTCATTTATTCCCATTTGGCCCCTACCCATTCCGCCGCCTCCCATTTTGCCCCTTTCCCAAATTGCCCCTTTCCCATTTCCCCCTCTTCTATTTCGCCCCCGTCCCATTATGCCCCCTTCCCATTTCGCCCCTCATTCCCCCTTTGCCCCTTCCCATTTCGGCACTTCCCAATTGGCCCCTTCCCATTTCACCCCTTCCCATTTCGCCCCTTCCCATTTCGCCCCTTTCCCAAATTGCCCCTTTCCCATTTCGGCCCTCTTCCATTTCGCCCCTGTCCCATTATGCCCCCTAAAAATGATTGAAATTTCGGGTTGATTTAAAAAAAAAAGTCTGGGTTGTATAAAAAAAGATTCCGGGATTAATCCGGGCTCATTTTTATTAAATTTTCCATTTTTTCGGGCTGAATTTGAATTAAAAATCCGGGTTGGTATTTTTTAAAATAAAGCTATATAATACTATTTCTAATAGGTTTCCCTCTACTATACACAATTTGAATCAAAGTTTCAGGGAGTGAGAAATCAAATAAAACGTACTTGTAACTTTAAACTGAGACTAACATAAAATGTTAGTCTCAGCTTTAAATGACAAAATTTGTTCGCACACTGACAGCATAAGCACATATTTTTGTTATGAACTGAAACAGCTAGCCACACATACAGCATACATGTACCATTAGAAAGCCTATATTATACTCTTCGATCTTGTTTATACCAGATTTATATTCATATCTGTTGACGAAAAATTGTAGAAAAATAGTATTTTGTTGCCAAGATATCAGGTTTTTAAAAGTAGGTACGCATGCTAAAGTGTAGTAAAATGGCTACAGTATCTGACGTTGTATCATTATGCTCTAATTTCACAGCCAAATAATCTGGTAAAATTGACAAAAGATCATCGGATATTTCATTCGATAAATGAGGGGTGAAATGGGAAGTGGCGATAAGGGAAAGGGGCGATATGGGAAGGGGGCAACATGGGAAAGGGGTGAAATCGCAAAGGGGCAAAATGGGAAAGGGGCCAACTAAGAAGGGGCGAAATGGGAATAAATGAGGGGTGAAATGGGATTAAGGTTCAGCTGGAAAGTAACATTTTGGTAAAAAATTGCTATACCTGCACATGTTATTTTCTGGTACATAATTAAGTATGAAGGCATGTGTGTATTTCCTTGCTTTTTTCAGGAAAGTATCATTACACTATCTACTTTTAGTAAACCTGGAAACAGGTCAATGGTAGCTCCTGTGTTGTCTGGAAACTTTGAAAGAAAATTTGGAAAAACAGGAAGTGTGAAATATCAGAATTCCCTGGAGTTCCCTTTGAACGCCTACCAGATATTCTAAAAGAAGACAATGTAATGATACTTTCCTGAAAAAAGCAAGGAAATTGATACATGCCTTCATACTTTATTTTGTACCAGAAAATAACATGTGCAGGTATAGCAATTTTTTACCAAAATGTGACTTTCCAGCTGTACCTTAAGGTACAGCTGGAAAGTAAGATTTTGGTAAAAAATTGCTATACCTGCACATGTTATTTTCTGGTACAAAATAAATTATGAAGGCATGTGTCAATTTCCTTGCTTTTTTCAGGAAAGTATCATTACATTCTCTTCTTTTAGAATATCTGGTAGGAGTTCAATGGGAACTCCAGGAAATTCCGATATTTCACACTTTCTATTTTTCCAAATTTTCTTTCAAAGTTTTCAGACAACACAGGAACTACCATTGACCCGTTTCCAGGTTTACTAAAAATAGACAGTGTAATGATCCTTTCCTGAAAAAAGCAAGGAAATACACACATGACTTCATACTTAATTTTGTACCAGAAAATAACATGTGCAGGTATAGCAATTTTTTACCAAAATGTTACTTTCCAGCTGAACCTTAAACTATTTACAATAAGCGTAGGTCATTTTTGAACTCTGGTTAATCCCCCCTGTTGTACTCATTAATAAAGAAGCTAAAGGTTTTCAGACTAAATTAAATCCTCAATTATTTTTTTCATCAGCACTTTACCACTTTATCGAGATTGCACGTCAAAACATGGGCTCTATGGTCAAAACAAGCTGAAAATTGGGCAATTAAAAAGGTTTCTGTTCTTTTGCTTATTTACATTTGATATCTCAGAAGTATAAAAAGGACAAATCATTTAGAAGAAACTCTGACTGACTTCATTTACTCTACCGAGGTAGAAAGGCGTTTTCAGTTAGGGATCATCGTGAATCACTGACTGACTCTGATTCCAATGGGGTGTGGAAATTTTGATCAATAAAAGTTCATTTTACGGCATAATCTGTAAATGTAACGATAAAAACTATATAAGAGCTAACATAGTACATCTATTTTATACATTTAAAATAATAGATCAAGCGAATACAGTTCAGGTGTTTTGTAATATGTAATTTACCTGAGAAACTCTAACTTCCTTGTTACAACAGGTGCGCGCTACGTCACTGATGTTTGTGTACACAATCTATGACGTTTAAATTTGTGTGTATAAATCATGGTGGACTGCGGAAACTCAAGATGCGCTCAAGAACGAAGGCTTTTCAAGAAGGAACTGCTATCCTGGAGCAAGAAAGTGCCATTAATGTGTGGTAAGTATAGAGTCAAATAAGCACGGCGACCTTCGAAATAATCAGATATGTTTTTATTGCAAAATTGACCCAATATCACCAATGAGTTATTGTTGTCAAAATTTGGCAAACCGGCTCTTGTGTCCATCCGGTTTCCCCCCTCTGAACAATATTATGATCCATATTTTGCTTTGTTTCATGGCCCTGTCAACTCTATAACTATGAAAAGCACTTGCATTTTCTGTTTATAATATAAGTCTAATTTTTACAACACATTTCATAGTGTCATAGCAACAGATAAACATTTTACCTGGAATTAGATTATTTTAGGTCACTCATCAACATCTTGTACTACAATGGTGAGCCAAGATATGATTTCATGATGTAGTCAATTTATTACCTGTATTATTTTCAAGTAATCAAGTTATTATTCACTTTGTACATAATAGAGACGAGAAGTTTACTTCAACAACATGTCCAGTATATATATGATTCTTTCTCAGTACATTAGTGAAACAACGTGAAAACAGATTCTACCAGGTACAAGGGACTTTGTAGGCATACTGGCTTACTGCACATATAATTGATTTTTATCCATGAACCTGAGATATTGCTTCATGCTTGATTTTTCTTTATTTAAAGATGATCTCCTGTATCATATTGACTTAGATATAACACATGTACATGTTGTTACATACATCTCTTTTATAGTTCTAGGAAATCATCACTACCAGTTTTTTTATCTCAAGATACCATAAAAAGGTTCATATTAATAAGTTAGAAAGCTAGTTTTTCAAAGATATACTCTTATACCATTGTATGTGAATAGGTTCTCTAGAAAGCCCATGGTCTTTAATAATAATACTTATTAATATAATCCATTATGATGTTTGTCACCATCTATAATTGATGACTATTGATGGCATTCTGGGATTAATACAACCAACTTCAAGTATGTTAGTATGTTAATCCAAGATGTAATCCTATTTGGAAAATGATTTTCTCCTGATGGAAATGGGGGAGGGGGTTTGCTTAGACACATTTAATTGGGAGAAATAACGAACATCGTTTTGAAGTTTATTTTGGAGCTGGAACCATATGGCTGACAAAGAAAAACCATGGTCTTGTACAATATATCATCAGATCTTCAACCCTTGAACTTTAACTCTTATTGTTATTTTGAAATTTGAAAACCCACCCTGCCACATGGTGATGGTTGGAATATAGAAACTAAGTGTTGAGATGAGGTTTCTTGCACATATAATATTAATTATTGTAAACCTTTATCATGTAATTTGAGTACATACTGTACATATGTCATATGAGAACAGCAAAACACTTGCACTTAGGCTATACGACATATCTAATATTGCAGAATTTTGGTATATTATTAATTTGTGACTTCATGCATTCTTCTAAAATCACCAGCTCTGTTGTCTGCTAAATAATTATTGCAATTAATATGATATTCTACCCTTTGTATCTTGGCCACCTACTATTCTCTCATTGTCAATAATCATCAACCACAGCTAAAACTTGCAGGAATATAAATGTCAAAACTAAGTAGTGAGTATTTATATTGTAAGGCTCTAACTCTACATCATGATAAACCATGACATCACATTTCTCCTCAGTCTTGAGATGCCATGATATTATATAGGTTAGTTGGTGATCCAAAGACCAGGTTTGAGAATTTTTGAGATCTTTCATTTCAGCTCATATTTCATCTTATTCTGGAAAAGGGATCTTTCAACATTTATTTCCTTTAAGGAATCACTCTTAAAAATCTTTAGAACAAGCCATCAAGCTGGATTTCAGATGCCAATGACAAAGAGGTAGATTTATATTTTGTTCTTAATTAGGCATGGTACTGGTTTGCAAGATTGGTATGGTTATAGGAACATATTTTATAACCAATCTGGGATTCCATCAAGTTTAACACATACAGTAAAACCTGTCTTAGTGAACACCTCTCTCTAGTGAATACCTGTGTTTAGTGAACACCACTTCAAGACATATGTTTCATCTTTTGGTATTGGTATCTTAGTGAACACTTTTTTTGTGGCTCCATATGTGTAAAATATTCACTCTTGGCGCTATATTTTTCTATTATGCTTTTTGATATTATCACTTGTACTTAGGCTAATTGGCAAGATTTTACTAAGGTCTTTAGAAAGTTCAGTGGTAAAATGTCAGATTTCTAGAGATGTTCACCTTTAAAAGATGGAGGCTGTTGCCATCCTCATCTGCATCACCAAAATTGATAATATATGGAAATATTTGAAATGATGAAAGTAAACACCTTAATGCTTCAGCATAATTCATGCATCAATGATTACAGGGTTCAGTTTCTAATGACAAGGTTTTGTTTCAGAAACTCAAACGTTCTAAAGACAGTTCAGGTTCTAAGGTCAGGATTCAGTTATAAAGACAGGTTAATACAAGGTTCTAAGAACAAATTATTTTCTACATACTGGTAGCTTACAGACCCGTAGCCAGAATTTTCCAAGGGGGGGTTCGTTTTTCTAAATAATTCTAGGGTGGGGTTCACTTTGGCAAAAATGGCCAAAAATCACTCAAAAATTAGTCAGAATGGTGAAAAACTGCATGATTTTGAAAGAAATTTTGGCCAGGGGGGGTTTCGCCCGAACCCCCCTGGCTACGGGCCTGGCTTAGTTCTTAAAACATGGACGTGGCCAGGTAAAAAAGCCTCCTTAAAACAGGGTCATGCTCGGATTGTTCTAATGATCTGGTTAAGTTTCAGTAGTTGGTTTCAGGCCCTAAAGACAATACCAGGGCAGCCAGCCTCTAAAGAATGAGTAAAATCTAAATAAAAAAATTAATGGCCTGTTGTTTTTTTCTTTTGAATATCTAAAAGTGTGATCAAGTACATAGAATAATTGATTGCTGTATCTATAAAGGATCTGGGACTTATAATATTCTCAGAAACATTTTTTAAACAGTTTATTGTTTTTATCTTAATGGCTAATGGGGATGACTTGTTCAGTGAATAATGTAAAGATATATTGAATTTTTTATTGTAACAATCCAATGTGTAATATCAGACAATTTCATATTGAAAGGTTATTGCCCAATAAAAATTGAACAAATGTATTTCATGAAATTGAGCAAATAGGCCCTATATATGAAATACTACAATGTTGAAACAGTCTATTATTGACCCATTTATTATTTTTTTCAATTAATCCAAAAAGATAAGATGCATTATTAATATATATATTGTTATTTATGTACTATGGAGATACTATCTGAGTTAATATAGCGGTACATTGGTGGTAATATTGATAAACCAAAAAGCTGGAAAATAAAACTATAGCTAGACTATGGTTACTTTTTCTGAGCTGTTATTGTTTAAATCATTTTGATATATATGTACATAATGTATTGAAGGAAGGTATTCAGGTTTCAATACTTTTCACTACAAATTGTTTTAGAATATGTACGTCTATAGATAGAATTATCCCACTTAAGTTCAAAATATTTCTAGACATATTTTTAAACCATTAACTTCTATGATATCTAACCTCCAATTCAACATAAAATAGAATCAATTAGGCGCTACTTGAATTTGGCAATTTTGGATATCAGACATAAAGTTCTTATAACCCGAAGTGCAATGAATGAAAAACATGTCAAATTCCTGGTTATTTTGGCGAATATTTAATTTACAGACAAATACAGTATTATAGCAAAATCTTTTTTTTAATTATGTTAAAGGATTAAGGGGTACCAGCATTGTCAACTAAGCGAATGTGCTTCTTAAGTTTACAAGCACATGTTTTCCTCAGCTGCGTTAGTGCATCGTGAGATATCACAGCCTTCTCTCAGTGTCCTTCTAGAATTCTTGTGCATAGCAGAGATGGTCTGAGTATCAGAATGGCGTTAGTGTGATTTAAGGGGATTCATTTTAAAACAAGAATTATGAAAATATCAGACTAGAGCAGCACCTATATAAACATTGAAAACTTTCCTTAGAACCTGATCTATCAATCTTTTATATATTCAGCTTGACGATCCTAGATATTAAGGAATGAATTCAGATTTCATGATGAAAATCAAATATGTTTACAATCACTAGAAAGAATGAAGCTTTTAACGAGAAAAAACATTTAGTATATATTATTTAATGAAACTATCATATATTGCAATAATATTTTTAACACCATTGCGAGGGTTTCACTAGAATTTCTCACATCAGCCCAAATAAATGAAAACAACGGGCAAAATTAATGGAAACCATAAAGTATTTAACATGGAGAAGTTGAAAAGTTCCTAAAAACACAGGCAATTTTGTGAAAACAACCGATGAAAATCGCCTGTTGCCTGCTGCTAATGAAACCCCTGCCATTGTCACATCTAGTTGTCTAATACTAGGGTCTGACTCTGCCCCATTATATGAACCAAAAACAGAATAGGTAACAAACAATGGCATTGTGCTACATGAACGCCATTTGATATTAGGCCAATTTAATTATTTATGAATATAATACACCAATGTTTTTTTAATCCGAGGGAGTGTAACAAAGCACCCTTAACCCCCTGACACCAAACTCTAAAGTGAGTCACATTGTTATAGATTTCAATCAGAATGCAAAGACTGCTAAATATTATGTTTGCTGCATAACACTTTTGATACAAAATTAGTATTCAGTTATTTTTGTGATATATATTAATAATCAATAATTTCACGACTGTTTCAACAATCGTGAATGATGTTCATATTTCTCTAAATACAATAGTTTTGAAGTAACCAATCAAACTGTTGCTCTACTTCCGCGATCTCACAACTTCCTGTGTTGAAATTATTAAGGGATGTGTAATAAACATGATTTTGAATTTCCAATAACCTAAAACTTAAGTAACCTGTATGAATTATGTATATGTTGGTTTTTTCATCATATTCATCATATTTACTGACTGATACAGTTTAGCATGTTTTTAATAAACTCAGGTGTGCAAATGTTTTTTCTGATCTCGTATTTAGGTATTCTGTTTTTTTC